TTCTTCGCCCTCGACGTCTTGCTCTCTTTCCGCTGCTGCTTGTTCGCCTCGTGAGCCGCCGCCGCCGCCCCCGCAGCTGCCCTCGCCGCTGTCGCCGCAGACGCCGTCGCCGCCGCCGCACGCGGCCGCGTGCCGCCTCCGCCGCCGCCGCTGTCGTCCTCCTCCGCCGCCGCCCCCACCGCAGCCCTCTCCACCCGGCCTCTGGCGCCGGGACGCCGGCCTAGCGCCCCTCTGCTGACACATTTCGGCGGCCACGGTGAGTCACGGACGTGCCAGCCCCACAGGAGCACCGGCGGAGGTTGCGTGGGGCAGCAGCTGTTGCCAGAGGCGCCTGCGACCGGGCGACCCTTCTGGAAGAATGGGAATAACAATATGATTAATGTACAGAGAAGCAGTTAATTATTCAATCTCTCTCCTTCTCTCTCTCTCTCTCTCTCTCTCTCTCTCACTATCACTCACGCTTTCTTACTCACGCTCTCTCTCTCTCTTATTTCTCTCTCTCTTATTTCTCTCTCTCTTATTTCTCTCTCTCTTATTTCTCTCTCTCTTATTTATCTCTCTCTCTTATTTCTCTCTCTTATTTATCTTTCTTATTTCTCTCTCTCTTATATATCTCTCTCTCTTATATCTCTCTCTCTTATATCTCTCTCTCTCTTATTTCTCTCTTTTATTTCTCTCGATCTTATTTCTCTCTTTTATTTCTCTCGATCTTATTTCTCTCGATCTTATTTTACTCTCTCTTATTTCACTCTCTCTTATTTCACTCTCTCTTATTTCACTCTCTCTCCTATTTCTCTCTCTCTCTCTCTCTCTCTCTTATTTCTCTCTCTCTCGTATTTATCTCTCATTATCATTTCTCTCCCTCACACACTCTTATTTCTTTATATCTTGCAATAATATATCTCTACACGATTAAAATAATTAAATGTGACAAATCAATTCTCTTATTTTTAAAGACAGTACAATAATTTCTTGGACTAACTTAATCTATCGTCAACGGTGGTAGGTACTTTCATGTTGACTATTTATATTTCTGAAATCCCAACTCACTTAAAAAAACAAGAAAGTTTCCTGACAAATCTGCCCTTGGAACTAGAAAGTAATTGAAAACGTATCGACAGAAGTTTGTTAATAAAAATCGCGATTCATAACTTGAGCAGATTTACCAATCATCAATATGCCTCGTGTCTTAAGGATTCACGTTAAATCGGAAAGGCAGTGTGGCATACGTGTCTTAAAACACTAATAACATGATGTTTCTATAATTATTCCAGAATATTCTGGAAACATTCGGTTACAAATAGAGCCAATCAATTTGTGTTGTGAATTGCAATCGAATGTGATTATCTACTTAGATCGCTTTTATACTCAAAACCCAAAACGTGTGTGAGGTACTTATTCAAACCTTCAACACATTTTTTGATAATTTACAAAATTAGCTTTAATTATAAGCAATATGTTTAATCAATGGTTATTGATTCTTGTGTATATGCCGAATAGTATATTGATTCACAGGTTTACTCTAATGTACTCGCAGGTGCATTGAACCAAACAAAATCGCATGTTTCGTCTAGGATTCTACCAAAATATTCTAGAGGTCTAAGAAATGGGCCAATCGAATAGTTTTCTTGAGAGGAAACGAATGCGTTTTTGGTAACATCTACTTGTGTCATTAGTTAACCCAAACATATTTGGGTTTCTTCAAAACCCTCAAAACGCATTTTTAACGTATTGTTTTTCGAATATTTTCAAAAGATTCGCAAAACAATCAGCTCTCTAGCACCGAAACGTGTCGTTTTCCTCGATTGGTGGACCTGAAACGGCTGATCATGAGTGAAGAACGGTCGGACGCATGTAGGTTATTTGATTTCTTTCTTTGAACGATCATGTAATAATATGAATCTTGCTGGAAATACTCCGAAGACGTAAAAAAATAGAATGTTATTATACCTATCTACAATTTTGCAGAAATAAAATAATTATGTACAATAAATTTCGTAAGCTTTCAAAGTCAATAGAGTAATACTATTGATATTGTAGTGAGTTTTCGTTAACATTTACAATAAAATAATTATTTGAATCGTCATGGCCAACAAAATTGTTTACTACAATAGCAGCTTTAGATGGCTTAGCCATCATCATCTTCATTTTTGTAGTACAAGAAAAATCATTAAAACGTGAATATTTTTTGATTTAACTTCAAAATTATAATAAAAAAGATTACTAATAATTGCATACAACAGATAAGAAACTGTTCAACTTACATCTTCATGTTTTCTCTTTCAAAACGTTTACATGTTCAAATTTAATTTCATTCACTTTTCTTGAAGTATTAAATAATTTTACATCCCCTTTCTTTCATTCAGTTCTTAAAATGTTAAATATATTTTCTAAACATTGTAAATTATTAGTAATCTTTTTATTATAATTTTGATGTCAAATCAAAAAAATACGCACGTAATTGTACTTCCACGTCAAGTACAACGTGTAATTACACGTCATTGTAATAAACAATATTGTTGGCAATGACGGCTCATATAATTCTTTCAGAGCAATGCCACCCTAAAAGTTGTCGTTGTAACGTTCAATTGCACTGGATGTGCTCTTGAGGCGAAATGAACACTTCTGGTGCGTTCTCGGACTCTCCCCTGATTAATCGGACACGCCCACTTTACGAGTCCCCAAATGATGAATGTCGCCCATAAAATACTTCGCTTCGCGAAGGATGCAACCAATATTCGTTGGAGGAGATACGTTCGTGATCCTCCTTGCTCTCCTGCGATCAATTTTATGACCCATTGTTCTGGTGAGAAGCTGAACCAACCGTTGATTTGTTCGTCACATGAACCAAGCACCGAAAAACAAATTTTAATTCAAGACAAAGAACTTACTTGATGGCTAAGACCCTGGTCATTTCAAAACATTGTATTGTTTGTACTCTACAATGTGTTTTTCGAATTAATCAAAATGTTTTTTGAAAAATTATTTAATTAAATATTTTAGTTTTATGCAGCTACTGAATGATGTATCATTTTATTATTGCAATATAACTATGATGAAACAGAAAAAACAAAATTAAATTGTATTGAAATAATTGGGAATTAACCTGATAATTTTCTTACGATCCCTAATGTAAAGGAGGAAAATTATTAGAATGGCATGAACAATACGCTCTCTATTTTTTTTATAATCCGTTATTAAGGTTAATTCAGCTGCAGCGTCATATTTAAGATCTATTATTACTTTTCGAATGATGAATAAGATTGGTGTATTTGTCTAGGAAATAGAGGCTGTTTTATATCCCTCAATTCTGATGGATAGTTGAATGGATAAAAGTTGGTCTCGCCTAATTCTGTCAGGTTAGAAGTGTTTGACATCAAACTGGGAAGAGTCCGCTGTAAAATCTAGTTGTGTCTTTTGGAGCGTTATAAAAATACTACAATTTTTGGAGCACCTTACGTGAAGTCCATGACACGTGAAGTAGGGGAAGTGAATTTTTAAATAAGGTATACGAAATTCTTACGAAATCCGATTTGTGTCATTCCTTTGTTCTTAAAAACGTCGAGGTGTTAAATTCCATAAGAGATGACTGTTAAAAGTGACTTTTTGTTTTTCTGTTTGATTGCGTTATGTCCGGATAACAGCACTGTATCAAAAACCATTATTTACAATATTTCATAAGATTAATCGTATTATAATCGTCCCGAACGTGAAATAACCAAGAACTGATATGTGACCATGTACGTAGAAACCCACACCTAATAGAGTCGTAGAGAGTCCCGCCTAAGGGTAGTCTCCTGGAAAACGAATCATGCTCAAATGTTTGCGATAAGACTTTCGGTTTCTTGCACGATCTCGTATGCAAGACATCGTGTTGGCAAACAGCGCTTTCTTACGACCCCCACCCGCACCCGCACCCCACCCCTACCCGTGAGGGAGTTGCGGCCGTCCATTCCGGCAGGCGATGTCCTTTTTTATGCGCCCGCACTCATCGTTCCGTGGGTGTAATAACCCAACTTTCACTTGGTGGCTTCTTTACGGCCAGGCCACCTCCTGCGGAGTCGGGGCGAACTTGGCAGTCGAGTTTCGCTCTATAGCGCGTGAGGTACACCTCACCGCCTGAGGAGGATACTCGCAGACAGAGGGGAGACTCAATGAAGGCGAGTGAAGTTGGTGGAAGTGTAAAGTCCGAGAGGAGAGAGACGGAGAGAGTGCGCATTCGACTCAGAAGTATTTCGTGTGGTTTCATTAATTTATCTTCATAGATAAGAAGCTACATTTAAGCGCAATTGTGAGTTCATACACTGATTATTATTTTAATACGTCAATAATTACTTAAAAATTAGTTTCAAATGTTAATTAATTAACATAACAATTAATATAATTTAACTGTTAATGTAGATTAACATTCACGTTATTCCTTATTTACCCTTCGGAGCCGACCAACAACCGTGTGCTTAACACCACTCAATCCATCTTAACCACAGGCTAAGCTAAGCACGGATTTACAGGAATCAAACCGACGAAAGACATGAATACACCCAGTTCAGGAGGGTACAATGCCTCAGCGATCTCGACTAAATCGACTCCAAAATTCAATAATTACAAAACTTCGTAACAAATTTGTTTAGAATGTCTATTTCTGTGGTCTCATTGAGTACAATTGAATAAAATTCTCAATGAGTCATTAGAGGTAGAAAAAAAAGTTGGAGTTGATTGTCCTACTTTTGAGGTAATGAGCAAATACGGACTAAAGAATTTGTTATAATAATTTCGTTAAATTATTTTCATCATTAACCGCCGGTCAGTGACTACATTTCGGTGCCACTGTTTGCTAACTTGTTATTCCCTTCTGTGGGAATCTGTTAAGGACTCGTGTAACCGCCACGTACGCGCATTCCATTTAAAGGACACATTAGCTAACCCCTACATGATACTGCCCGGCTTTAAAGATTCTACTGGATATGAATTGCATCTTGATGTCCAATTTACTTGTTTGAGTTGCGAGGGCTAAATTATGATTAAAAATGTGATTTTCTTGATTGAGAGAATGAGTGTCAAGACTATGATGTGCTTTGATATCAAACAAAAGGAACCAAATGATCCTAAATATTTAGTTAAAAATATATTTTGTCATTTATGGCAATTTAAAATATTAAAGTGAAAGTACATAATTGCGTTGAAATTAGCACAGTTAGATTTAATTTACTTTTCCGATTTTAGTGAAAAAAATTCAATTAAGAGATATTAAGATAA